CCTTTGTTCTCGGTTTGTCTACTGGTTCTGCTTCCGCTTTTTCCTCCTCTATTGTAGTAGCTTCTTCCTCTGTAGTTGGATTTGCCTCTAGGATTTGATCTGTACCCAAAATGTACTGTGGTGTGACTCAAGTTAACGAAAGCTAGGTCAGTTTTTAGAGCATTAAGATGTGCAATTCGACTCTCAAAAGTCATTAGCACAGACTGCAACTTAGTCTAGGAGATGAACTCTCTGCTATTGATTTGAACCACTATAGGTGTGTATTCTTCATCTAGTCCAACCAGCACTTGTGTAACAAGATCATTGTGAGGGATGCTTTTTCCAGCAATTTCAAGGTTATCTGCTAATTGTTTGATTGTGTTTAGGTACTGATCAATGCTCATTGAGCCCTTTCTGGTCCTTTGAAGTTAACTAATGAGAAAAGTAACTCTAGACTTGTTCATTACTCCAAAACTTTCCTGGACAGCATTCCAGAGGTTGCAAGAGTTTGTAGCTCCCATTACTCTCATGGCAATCTCAGCAGTCATTGATGAATAAAACCAACCCATCAATAGTTGATCAGTAGACATCCATTTTGCATACTCATTATTTGGTGTCATTTCGATAGTGATACCAACAGTTCCTGTAGTTTGAGTAGCCAAAAATTCTGGTAGACACGATTTCGTTCCTGTGATGAATCCCTCAAGATTGTGCCCCTTGATGATGGGCATAACCATGTTCTTCCATAGTAGAAAGTTGTTCCTGTCAAGCTTCACTGGTGGAACTTGAGTGAGACTTATCCCAAATGAAGGCAACTGATTTCCTCCCATCATCGAAGGCATCAGTGTGCTTGAGGTTGGTTGGGCTGAATGTGTATTGTCACTGGATCCGGTGTTAGCCATTGGCTCTGATACCAAGTAGAAATTGAATATATAGCCGTAGTGAGAATAATAGGTATAATTATATTTTCCCTCACTGAATAAATTACACAGAGTATGATACAATATTTATAGCCACTTTGGAGTGGTGAGCAAGAAATGAAGGAAACAGATTACACGTGCAAGGCACCAAAGAATAAATATAGTTATAACAAATTTGCATAGCACCCAGGTGCACATTAGCAACAACTAGATTTTGTGATAAACACGTGAGTTTGAATTCAGCAATGGATGTGTGATGATGCATTTTAACATATAGAGGTGCAAAGACTGTGGTTCTAGAGTTGCTTTCATATATTTGAGGCACAATTCTTGTGTCTTATTCTTGATAAAGTTTGAGTCCTTTTTTTTTGTTTGTAAAATTTGGAATTTTTGTTTGTGGGTTTTGGAGATTTTCCATGGCTGCTGGTGCAGAAGTGTCTGTTAAGATAGTAGTGGTGGAAATGGTGCCTTCATCACCTAAAAACACTGATACTGCTTATGAAAATGTCACTGAAAAGAATGCTAATTTTAAGACTAAAAATTTAAAGGAGAAGGATGTAGATTATATTGTTAAGGACTCTGATTCGAAATTGGCAATGAAAATGAAGGAACTTTGTTGATACGTTGAATCCTCTGGCTAAGGAGTTTTTTCCTTCCTCCTATGATAGCAGCAAAATGAGGGACAACAATTTTGTTGCCATCAAGATTTTCGTCAAAAAATGATTGTTTAGTAAAAATGGATTGCATACTTCATTTGTTAGATATGGATTTTGCGCATCAGTTCATTAGATTGATCATTGATTTCGATTTATTGTTCGTAAAACTCATAAGATTTAGGTTTGTGTTTTCCCAGAGAACAAATAACAACAATCAAGGCAGAAGGATAATGAGAGGTAGAACTTTTACAGCTCAAAGAGAAGATAATATTAGATGAACAATCTACGTTTTTGATATTGATCAAGATGCAAGTAAAGATCAATTGGCTCATTTATCTCTATCAATCTTTTATGATCCTTATTTGTAACGATCCACATTATATAATTTAAATCGCTACCAAACAGGATGTATTCTAAATACATATATTTTATTTTATTTTATTTTTTTAATTCCACCAATAACACATAACACAATTTTAAATTTGTAATCCAAATAAATATGTTTAAAATTTCTAAATAAAAATTCTTATGAATTAAATTAAGAAATTGCTGAAAAATATCTTGTTACACCGAATTATTTTTATTTTTACTATGATTAATCATCAATGCTTGCTTCAGTACATGAGACATTAGGTTCTGTGCAATTTGGGGTGACTGGTGATAGTGTGTGTGTGACAAAAGCGAGTGTGGCTTGATCAATTAGCTCCTGTTTGGTAATCATTTTTTTAAAACTCTTCTTTTCTCGTACTCATTTTCAACCACAAATTCTTACAATAAAATAATTTTCATGTAAACATAAAAAAATTTCTTACTTTTTAACCACTCGTTTGCCAAAAATTTACTAATAAAAAACTTATTCTTTCCAAAAAAAATCTGTCAAATAGGGGCTTAGTGTGAAAGGTGGGTAACAAAATGTGTGACTTTGTTTTATTGTAATGATTGGGATCGATCTTCTCAAGTTTTTGCTCCATTTGTATTCATTCGTGCTATCTATCTAGTAGAGTTGGTGCTCATCTTATCAACACTGATTTTTTCCCTATGCTTCGAACTTAAGGCTTCTATTTTATGAGACACTTAAGTTGAATGTTGATACACAAAGCTCTTGTATAGGTCAAAAGTCTACCGAGTAGGTACTTATGAGTCATGTGCATTAGTATGTACGTCGGCATATCACTACAGAACACACTAAAACATGTTATGACTATGCTAACATATTATGTTAGATGGACTAGAAGAACTGTTGCCACACTTGATAAAACTTATTATGTAATTCTTCTTGTTTACATATTTATGATTGCTACTCTATTCTTACAACTACTCGGACTATAATTTTTGTATAACGATAGTTCAAGGCGATGATATTTTTATGTTTTGATGATAGTGATGGACACTACAAATATGTAGATGAGGTTGAGAATCCTTCCCTTTTTCCAAATGGATACCTCTTTTAGTGTGAGTGTCTCGATGTGATATGATTCAGTGCAAAAATTGAGGCGTTACGCTTTGGAGCTATTCTATAATAGTACTATGTAGATGGTAATACAACAATTTTTTTTTCTAATTTTTTATTTAAAAGATAGTCATTTGTATTATCAACCGTACAACATAATGTAGAGACTAGAAGTGGGTTTATGTCGTACAAGAAAAAACATAATAAATTACATTCTTTTGAATAAAAAATCGAAAAATAATTTCCGTATTATTCTACTGGGATACCATCTACTCGATAATATTTATTATTAATTTTATAAAGAATTTGTTACTTGGTCTGAAACGTAATTTAAATATTCATTTGGCGCATCATATTATTTGTCACCGTGAGATAGTCACAAGTGGCCAAGTAAAATGATACGTTTAATAAGTTGTTTGAACAGAATAGAATCTATCTAACATAAAGAAAGAAAGATACGTACTAAAATTTTAAAAAAATGTCACATTTAAATGATTTTCATGTTTGTTTAATAGAATAAAATCACATAAATTTATCATTTTTATATTTTTCACAATTATATTTATAGTTGAATACTTTGTTATGAGTGTATAACATTTATTTTATTTTTTCAATATTACGTTAATTTTGACCTATTAAATGGCAACATGCGGAAGAGGAAAAATTTGGAAATGGCTTTGTATTGCATGGAAAGAAAATGGCGCGCAGCATTCATTTCTCTTTCTAGACTAGAAATTCCCGATTCCCATTCCACATTCAATCCAATTATAAAATGAAGATTGAAACTGTAACTAACGAGAGTCTTCTATGGCGGAGAGAGAGAATTTGCCGCTGAAGGATGTGTATCAGGTACGTATTCAATTGCATAAGATACGTGGATTTGTTGGATATTTTTTTTCCCGCTAGATTTTGTAATTTGAATCACCGGCAATGTACAATTTTATGGCGTGATTTTTCGAATTCGTTCGTGTTGGGCATTGCGCGATGGAATTGTTTCAATTTATGGATTTAATTAGATTTACGAGTCTCTCATAAAAGATCTGCTGCTTTGGGAATATGTTTCAGTTTATGATTTAGCTTCAGAAAATTGGAATATTATATCTTTCTGATGGTGAGTGTATCTTTTTAAGGTTCTTTAACAAATTCTACATAGTTGAAATGAGTTCGATGGTGCAATCTCTGATTCTCTGATTTTAATCACCCATGGAGGATAAAATGAAAAAAAGAAAAAAAACAAAAAAACAAAAAAACTGGATTTGAAAAATGTTCTGAAACTCTCACTTTCTGCACGACCATTCCCAAACACCGTATGAACTTTGCTACCCATTGCTGCAATCAAATGTTCACTTCTAACTGTGTTCTTATAGTGGGCGTTTGTCCTGCTTCCAGAGCAATAAAGAATCGTTGAAGAAATTTAACAATTTTGTCGAATCCTTTTTTCAGTTACTATTGTTTTCCTCAAAAATAAAAAAACAGTCCTTTTGATATTTGAAATGCACTCTGACAGATAATCACTCATTGATTTTTGTTGTATTGCGACTGAGGGGGAATTCGGTACTTTTATATAACGGTCACATACTATGACTATCTTTCCCCTTAATTTGTAATATTCTGTTAATATAGTCTTGTGCCTTTCTATAGATGATGGTGCCGATATTTTAGTATCTTTCATGATGCAGGAAACCATTAAGACTTCATTTCCCTATTCATGACTTGGTAGATTTTTACAGTCGTGTATTTTAATTTACATTTATAATTACGATAATCTATAACCATTATAGCTTTCCCGCTTAATAATTTTCAAACAAAAACCTGAGTGACACCAGATACATATAGCTAAAATGTACAACTCTTATAGTGTTCACTAGTATAATTTATTAAATCTGAACACAACCAATAAAAGAACATATATTACTGAAAAGATGAATTTTGATGAGACGAACTTCTACTTAATTGTTATAAATCGTATTCCATTATATGATGTTTACAGTAATGGATAGGTGAGACCAGTGCATGTGAGGCAGAAGAGTTTGTCCAAATCAAATAGTGGTTCTCCATCATCAATGGCATCCCCAAAGCATCGCCATTCACGCACAGCTTCAACTGGCATTGCAAATATGAAAAGACCGCAGAATACAAAAGCCGCTGCTCAGAGGCTAGCTCAGGTTATGGCTCATCAATCAGCTGATGATGATGAAGAGGAGGATGACCTTATGTATGACTACAGCCCTGGAATTCCGTCTGCTGGCATAGGACTTGCAGGTGGAAGGCCAAATAGTCGCCGATCGACAATGGTAAGAAGCTGTCATGCGGACACAACCTAATATCACATCCGTTCATCACTTTATCTGCATTGCACCTGCTCTTGCATACCTGCTCTTGCATTTTTATGAGAAGTCCTGATGTCAAAGGGGATATTGACACTTATACATGCCCATAATTTGAAGATATCTGTTTCTCCATTCATTATCAGCCATTTTGCAAAATTATGAGTTCTGTTTATACGGTGTTGGTGAATCATTATCGCAGAACACTTGTCTCAAATTTATATTACTCTTAAATATTTTCCATGCTAGTATAGATTTGGTTTTTACGACTATATATTAGAGCATGGGTATGGTATAATGATAATCACCTTCCCTCATCACGAAAGTTGAAAAAAATTATACTTGACAGCATTGATATTTGAATAGTTTTTGAATTTTTGGGAACAAGCGAAAATTTTCGATGATTGTTTACACATTAATATCAGTCTCTATCTTATAGGATTAGTTTCCGTCACTCAAGTGTTATTGTTCCCTTTCGGTACTGATTTTGAAACTGTTTTGTTATTTTTAGTCAGTTCGTACGGCAGTAGAACAACCACCACCTTCTCGTTTAACAATAGGTGCAAGAACATCTGTAACTATGAACTCGCTGGAACAGCAGCCTTCATCAGTTCGTACCTCAGTAAAACAACCAACATCTTCTCGTTCAACATCAGGTGCAAGAACATCTGCGACTATCAACTTTGTGGAACAGCAATTGTCATCAGCTCGTACTTCTTGGATCATCTGAAAACAAGTCTGCAGAACAACTTTCATCTGCCTACTGTTCTGTGGCTGGTCGTTCATCTGAACCCACAGACTCAGTTGAAGAAGCACAACCACCATCTGCTCGCTCTGATATTGGAAAATCATCTTCTTATGTCAACCTTGCGGAACAACCTCCATGTGCTCGTTCTATGGCCAGTGTCCATCCAAATTTAAGAGGAAAGACTGTTTTCATGGCACCTCCAAGTGTACCTCTGTCAGTCAAGCCAGCAGGATCTGGGATTCCAACAGAGACTCAACCTGATAAAATCAGAGACAACAGGTAACTTGAAGCTTTAGACTCTGTTGTACAGTCTCAAGGATCTTATTTAGTTCACGTGTAATCTGTTATATGTATTCCCTTTTGCCTAAACCTTGAAAAACTTTGATATGGATTGTCTTTCTATTCATCCATCTCATAATATCAAAATCCTTTCTTCTTTGAACTTCTGCAAGAGCACATGGTAATACCTTTGTTTTTTTGTTCAGATGATTGACAATTGAAAATATAAGAACTTCTACATAATCTGTCCATTACAGGCTATCTTTAGATTTCGGAACTTTTAAATATAAAGAACCTGGTGATCAGCAGTCATCTTCTTCTGCTCTACAAGATGAGGTAGGATTGTTCATTAAACTTTCTCCTACTCTACTCCATTTTCTGTTCCTCTTTTTAAATATAAAAACTAATTTTATGAACACGTTGAATAATCGACCTCCAATTGGTGGAATTCCGGACTCAGGATACCAATCTCAACCTTATAAATACACCCAAGCAATCACGACTCAAACTTTAAACTCTTCCCACACTCAGGTTGCACAAACTTGAACCCAGTAAGGACACAAAGAGACGGTGTTTGCAGCCACAAAAGCGGTGCTACAAAGGCCGGAGAAGAATAAGAAGAAAACGGCTAAGAAAAAGCACAAAGCAAAGAAGCAGACTCGGTTCTCTCTCAAACAAGACAAACACGTGAATAACAAAAGACAAAGAGGGCCAACTTATATATGTTAGGTTAGGGCATAGAGATGAGCCAAGCCCGATACAAATATGACAAGTGGGCCAACATACAAAAGCCATCCAATGAGTGTAGAAATCGGGCCATGAGCAACAATAATTAAGTGGTAATTACACAAAACCATAAAGTTAAAATCATAAACTCTAAAATCAGATGGCTACTTTAATCTCTCAAAAATTAGAAATATTAATATTAAATATACATTTTTTATTCCAAACCCTACCATTCTCTCTCTCTCTCTCAGATTGCCCTCCCCAGCCGCGCCAATGTTCACCGTCTCTTCAACTTCTCTCCTCCATTGCATAGCAACCATTCACGGAGTCGTCACCACTCATAGCGTCGCTGGCCAGAAGAAGCGTGAATCGTCGTCGCCGTTCCCGTAGACCAAAGCAGAGCTCGTGTCTGTGAGCAGCATGCGGCGCTCACTAGGACCGTGGGACGCCTCCGAGCTTCATTTGCAGTTTGGTGCGATGCATTCGATGTCGGCATTTCTCCATGGGCGTTGCAGATCTTTTTTGTGCTGTGGGTGGGTGGTGCGATGTTGTGGTTGTGTGCGATGACCGGTGGTTGGGTACGGTGCGATGACTGATTGTGTACGGTGATTGTGCGATGTTGTGTAAGGTGGTGTTGGCGCGCGTGATGGTGGATCTGGTGGGTGCGCAGGTGCAGTGGTGTTGGAGTGGTGGCCGACGGTAGGGGTCGTGTCGGGGGTAATGGTGAGATGTTGGTGGTTGCAAGTCGTGATAGCGATGACAGCGAGGTGGTGGTTCTGTTGGCATTTAGAGAATTGATGATGATGTTGGTCGTGGTCATAGTGGTAGGGCGATGATTTTGGGTGTTTGCGATTTGTTTATTTTTGTTAGATCTGGCGGCAGAGTGGGTTTCGACGGTAGTAGAGGAGGTGGTGTTGGCTGCGCTGAAAACTGTGACTGTAACTTCCAATTGTGACTCGAAATTGGATATATGACCTGAAAATTGTGATTATGACTCCCAATTGTAACTCACAATTTGGGAGTCACGGTTAGTTGTGACGGTGGTCGTGCAATTTGGTTGATTTGTGACTCACAATTAAATACGTGATCTGAAAATTGTGACGGTCACTCACAATTGGATACATGACCTGAAAACTGTAACTGTGAATTATAAGTATTGGTGGTGATCACAAATTATTTGGTTGACTGTGATCATTAAATTGGTTAATCTATGACTAATGAAAAAGATAAATTGTGATCGAAAAATAATGTGTGACCTAATAAATTGTTAATCTGTGACCGATAATTTGTGACTTGTAATATTTGTGATTTGTAACCAATAAATAAATCGTGACTTATAAATTTTTCGATTTATGACTGATGAACAAATTGTGACCTATAAAATTTTTGAATTGTGATCGTAAAATAATTTGTGATATAAAATTTTTGATTTTTGACAAAAAAATAATAGGTGACGAATTAAATCGTTAATTTGTGACCAAATTATATAAATTTGTGACTTAAATATATTTAATTTCTAAATTAATTAAATTATAAATAATTTTTAGTAAAAATATGATTTTTAAAATTTGAAACTTGTTTTCTTATTTTTGAAATGTGCCATAATTAATCTCTTATGAAATTTTTTCAATAATTAATTAGGTTGCTTCCAACAGTCCAAATAGTTTTAGGGTTGGGTCATCAATCTTGGGTATCGACATTTATTTTATTCAACATCGATTTAATATCATCGTCCGGATTATTGGGTATCAAAACCCAACAAACGTATTTCACTATTCTTGTATACTTTACATCAACACATATCTCTATAAATTATTTTATAAAGATGTGTTATTTAGGGGTGTCAAAAAGGCTCGACGGCTTGGCGGCCCGCGGCCTGGCTCGGAAAAAGCCCGAGTATGCCCGGGTCGTGGCTTGGAGCAGCTGAGCCGATGCTCATGCGGCCCGCGAGCATTTATTTTAAAAAAAAAAAAGAGAGAGAAGAAAAAAGGCAGCAAGGTAGAATTATGCCTGCCTTTTTAAAGGCAGTTTTAAAGGGCAGGAAAGAAAAAATAAAAAAATCCAGCTTGCCCGGCTCGGCCCGAAAAAGCCCGGGCCGAAATTTTTTGGCCGAGCAAAAGCTCGGCTCGGCATGGGCTCGAAAAAAAGCTCAACCATTTTAATTGAGCCGAGCTCCAGCTTAAAATTTTAGGTTTGGCTCGACTCGTTGACATCCCTAGATGTGTACAATTATGCAAACACTGAGAATTTTGCTCTACAAGCTATAGTCGGAGATATTGTTGTAAATCACTTATATTTTCCATCTCAGCTACACTAGCAAGTAGCAAGAAATCTTTCACCTCATTTTATAATTATATTACTAACACAAGGTTCTTGAAATTACAGCTTGACATGCTTCAAGGAGAAAATGAAGGTATACTAGAAAAGGTGATTCCAGTTATCTGCTTACTTACAAAAGAATTATGTGTTTATTCTGTATTGCAACTTTTCTTTCATTAAAAAGATTATGTGTTTTGATATTCTAATTGCTACACTGGTTAGCATCTCAACATACACATGCTTTCAGCTTCGAATTGCAGAAGAAAGGTGTGAGGAGGCAGAAGCACGGACTCAACAACTCGAGAAAAAGGTGAGAATACTAATTTTCTGCAACAAAAGAATTCAGTCTCTCGAACCATGTGGTATCTATAATTTTTTTGTTTCCATTTAGATATGTTCTTATGGCTACATATTTTTGAGAATGATATAGCAGATGTATCTTGGTCTTATTCTGTTAGATTGCAAGTCTAGGAGATGGTGGATCTTTAGAAGCTCGTCTTTTGAGCAGGTAAGTAATGAATTTTGAAATGATTTTTCTAAATACTGTAGATTCTCTAGCTAATTAATTTTCATTTATGTTCAATTTTTATATTGTAAACTCTACAGGAAAGAAGCAGACCTTCAGAAAAGAGAGGTATGTATTAGAAGGAATGCTATTATTTTCCATTGATTCAGATTTTGTATGCATATATGTTGAGAATTATTTTTCCGCTAGGTGAATGTTGATATTGTCACAAGGCAATCTCAGTTTCTTTTACAATTCTAGGAGTAGAAAGCTGGTCATTTTTTATGAACTTCAGCCATCCAATTTATTCTTTTATCTGAGCATGTTATTGTTTCACATATTTTTGTATTGTCTGGTCAGTTCGTGTGTTTTTTGTTCTATATGGCAATACACAACTTGTCTTTGTTAATCTGAAGGAATGCAGTTTAAATCTGTATCTGTGACATCTTTTTTGACATGGCGGGCTGCTCTTAAAGCTGCGACAGAAACCTATGGTGGAGCAAGCGAGGAGCTTGCAGCCCTTCGAATGGAAGCCGAGGTACTTACAAACTCTACCTAGTGTGTTATATTGTTAGATGTCATAAATTCTTCTTTTAGTCATTTCATGTCACTATTTTTTTGTTAAAACCTTTGTAAGTTTTGAGATTCATAATCAATAATGAAATATAGGTTCACTATAATTTATTTATTGTAATTTTAATCAGACTGCCAGGGATGAAGCTACATCAGCTTTGGAGCTGCTCCATGATGTGG